AAGCCTGTTTTGAATTGTACTGTTGAAAAGGAATCTGAGATATTGAACCTGGCCTTTGCTGCTGCCAACTCCAACTGGCTGAAGGGTTACATATGCAAATTGTTTTCACACTGGATTAACATCATTTGATCCAGTTCAAAACCCTCTATGTAGATGTTCTCTTAAAACACAGGAAGATAAATCTCATAAATCTTACCTGGCTGCGTAAACATACCTATAGTGGGTGCAAGTCTGGCTCTGCTGAAGTAAATAGAAGTTTGTCATTTACTTCAGTGAGCCAGGCTTCCATCAGTTAAGCTTTTTTTAAATACAAATAAATGCAAGTTTCATTATAACACCTCCATTTTAATTCTCAACAAAAACAACATCTAAAAATCCATGGTATCTTGATTTAATTGTTCAAATACTTTTACATATATGTGTATTTTCAAAATATTTTCAGTAAACCACCTATAAGAATATTTTACACTTCTTTTAATTATAGCTATCTGGAATGGGAGAGAAATTCTGGGTGTTTCTGGATGTGTCTAGACTACACCTCTCTGTTGACAGAGATGTAGATTAGGCACGTCAAAATTGCTAATGAAGCTGGGATTTAAATATCCCATGCCTCATTAGTATAAACATGGCCACTGCTTTTTTCCAAAACGGAGCTTTTTAGGAAAAAACTGGTAGTCTAGATGTGGATCTGTCAAAAATAAACCCTTTTTTGACAGATCCTGTAAATCTCCATTTCAAAAAAAGTGGTGGGCATGTTTATGCTAATGAGGCATGGGATATTTAAATCCCTACTTCATTAGCAATTTCGATGTGCCTAATCTACATCTGTCTCTTAATTTTGTGAGAACACAGAAAAGTTGGACTGTGCTAAATTGTTCCAAATGAAAGGCCCTGCAAATGCAAGGGCTCAACTTTCAGAGCTCTGTGCAGGAAAGGGGCTTTGGAAAATTATTCTGGTATGGAGCTATATTGCAGTACCTGCCTGGACTAGTTTGATCTGTTTTTGCCCCACTGTTCAAAGTACAGAGATAAATGTGCATCATAAGGTCTCTCTCGTTAATGGTGTTGGAATTGTGTTTTTTCTACCCTGATCATTAAGAGGTGAAATTGCTGGGAGCTTAAATCATTTGAGACTGACGGGCAGAAATCAGACAAGGAGTGGATGGCAGAGGATGGTGACAGAGTCCACAAGTTGGTGGTAGAGAGATATGATGAGCGGCCATCAGAGTGGTGGTGGCATGATTAGCAGCCAATGAAAAAACAGACCAAAGGTCCATCTAGCCCAGTATCCTGTCTGCCAACAGTGGCCAATGCCAGATGCCCCAGAGGGAGGAATCATAACAGGTAATCCTCATGTGATCCCTCCAGTCACCCACTTCCAGAGAAGTGGAGTGGCGATGGATGAGTGTAATGAGTGGCCAACAGGGTGTAATGAGTGGCCAATGGCCAGTGGCAGAGAGGTGAGATGAATGGTCAACAGGAAAATCAGTTTTACATATACATAATGGGAAGCAACTGTCTAGGAAGGAATACTGCAGAAAGGGCTCTAGGGGTCATAATGGACCACAAGCTAAATATGAGTCAGTGTGATACTGTTGCAAAAAAGAGCACAGACATCATTCTGGGATGCATTAGCAGGAGAGTTGTGAGCAAGACACGAGAAGTCACTCTTCCTCTCTATTCTGCACTGATTAGGCCTCAGTTGGAATATTGCGTCCAGTTCTGGGCACCACATTTCAATAAAGACATGGAGAAATTAGAGAAGGTCCAGAGAAGAGCAACAAGTATGATTAAAGGTCTAAAGAACATGACCTATAAAGGAAGACTAAAAGAATTGAGCTTGTTTAGTTTGGAAAGAAGACAGAGGGGACATTATAGTGGTTTTCAGGTATGTAAAAGGGTGTCACAAGGAGGAGGGAGAAAAATGGTTTTCCTTGGACTCTGAGGACAGGACAAGAAGCAATGGGCTTAAACTGCAGCAAAGGAGATTTAGGTTGGACATTAGGGAAAACTTTCTAACTGTCAGGGTGGTTAATCACTGGAATAAGTTGCCTCGGGAGGCTGTGGAATCTTCATCTCTGGAGATATTTAAGAACAAGTTATATAGACATCTATCAGGGATGATCTAGGTAAGTATTTCTCAATCTTTTTTTAATAAAGTATCCCTTTAAAAAAAACGTGTGTGTGTGTGTGTGTGTACGTACTCCCAGTACCTACAGTTTTCAGACATACAAAATTGTTTTCTACCATTGCAACACATTTGTTTAAACAACTTAATTGTAGCTGAAATTTTTGGGTATAAAAAGTACAAAAATAAAGCACTATAAAACTTAAAACAAAAATTCAGTTTTCTCCAAATTGCAGTTGTGTTGACATATCCCCCAGACTTCTCTTGAGTACCCCTAAGGGTACACGTACCACTGGTTGAGAAACACTGGTCTAGGTGCTAGTGAGTCCTGCAATGAAGGCAGGGGACTGGACTTGATGACCTTTTGAGGTCCCTTCCAGTTCTAGTGTTCTGTAATTCTATGATTTGGGCATGTGAAGGGGACATTAACATTACTGGACTTTTGAACCTGAAAAGAAAAGGACATTGCCCAATCTACTTGGGGTGGGATTTTAATCATTGGTTTTGTTTATGATACCTGTTTGTTGTGGTTTCTCAATTTAATGCTAGGTGCGTCTTTCACTTTTATTAAAACTTTCTTTTCTACACTCAGATTTTGTGCTTGTGATGGGGAAGCATTGCCTCTTAGGGTGTGTCTAGGCTACAGGGTTTTGTCGACAAAAGTGGACTTTTGTCGACAAAACTATACCTGCGTCTACACTACCACCGAGTTCTGTCGACAGTACGCGGCAGTTTTGTTGACGGCAGTAAACCTCGTTTACGAGGAACAACACCTTTTTTTGACAGAGTTCTGTGAAAAAAAGGCGCCATTGCATCCACACTGTGCTTTTTCAAAAGAGAGAGTCTACACTTTCGAAAAAGCGGCTTGCTTTTTTGACAGAACTGGTTGTAGTCTAGATGCTCTTCTTCGACAGAGGCTTTGTCGACAGTATCTGTCGATAAAGCCTCTGTCAAAAAAAGCCTGGAGTCTAGATGTACGCTGAGAGGTACCCAGGGGTGATGTGTGAATTTCCCAGGTTACTGGATGAGGGCTCAAGCCAGTTCTGTGTTGGATGGATGGAGAGGAACCCATTGATATTGAACATGACCCTGGCTGCTACTGGCTCTACCTGACAAAAGGATTACACATAAAACATTGATTCTATATTCTAATACATAGATATATATTCGCATGTTTTAGAAACTGCTTACTATGAGTTTTGTGAGGCCGAAAGGCAGAACTGAACCTTGTACCTCTGGAGCTAAGTACATGAGCGTCAACAGCTGGAGTTGAAAGCCAATTGGCTGTCAGCTCAGGCTGTAGAGTACACTTATTCTTTCTCTTGAAGTGGTATAACTGCCACTACATGGCTCAGCGAGCCACATCCAGCTGGTAGGTGGGTTATAAATACATATTTAATGTTTTTGTTTCTATTTTGAAATTATCGATGAAAATAGAGTGAGAGCTATAACTGGATTATGACAAACTGTGCACTTCTTTATACGGAGTAAGAATAAATGTGTTAGTATTAGGTGGGCACTGTAAGAGTAATAATTAGTTTTAGGACATCCCATTCTGGCCAAAAAAAAAAAAATCTCTTTTTTAAGCCCTGTCCTGGCCATCCTGATTCTTTGGCAAAAGAGGGCCTGTGCCCCATTTGCTCTTGCCAGCATGATCATGTTTCAAATGCAAACGGAAAAATGCCCATTTTTATCAAAAAGCAGGATGCAGAAGACCCTTCATGGAAAGGGCAGACAGGGCTTCAGAGAGGTCAGGCAGGGCTAGAGCGAGTTGTGATGCCAACCCAAGCCTTGCGTGGGGGAAGGAGGATGAGGACAGGGCCCTTCCTACTAGTGCTGCTTTCCTACTCAGCTCAGTAGAGGCATCCCCTCCCCGCCCCGGAGCGGCCAATCCACATGGAGGGAATGGGGGATGAGGAAAGGTGGTTGCCAACTGTCCTGGACTGGACTTGATGCCATTTTCTGCAATAATGTCTTGTCTGTCCAGTCATGAACAGTTGGCAATGCTGGAGCAGGGCTGTGAGGGACGTGTGGGCTGGAGGAGCAGCAGGTGATCGGGTGGGAGGAGCACCAAGTGGTTGCACTCCCAGCTGAAGAGAAGCGACCCTTTTAAGGGGAAAGCACCACTTTTCTAGCGGTCACTCCTCCAGCCCACAAGTGCTCCCTGAGAATGCAGCCTGGGTATGGGGATACTAGAACCCTTGGGGATGGAGCCAGGGGTTGCTGGAGCCCCAACACTGGGCTTGTGGGGAGGAGGGATGGGGAATGCCAGAACTCATAGGCAGCACAAGGTTGCACCATGAAATATGAGGCAGTTTGGTGCCCCGTGTCTGCATGTTTTGCATACGGATTGGGACTGCCCTGGGGGGGGAGGGTGGCAAGGCTCAAGCAGACAGTGACACCAGCCCTTCAGCAGCGATGGCGGGGGATGAGGAAGGGGAGTGCTTGGGTAAGTGGCTCAGGCCAGCTTAGGTGGGGAATGGGCTCGGAGCAATTCAGGCCAGTCCATATGCAGGGGGTGTGGGTTGTGTAGGAGATAGATGGGCTAGCCCCATACAAAATCCCATTTTGCCTTTGGGAAATATGGTCACTCTACTTAGTTTATTATTTATAGTCGTGGTAGTAGTTGTTTGCAAAGACTCCACTGTGCCAAATTTCAAGCTGATTTCACGTTTTAGTTTGGCCAAGCAAAAGAAGATCTTAAACCTAACTTGATGTCATTTCTTTGTCTATTTTTAGCGGTCCTTTCTGGCCTTAATTTTATTCATAGTTTTTAAGATTTTTGCCTCTTCCCTATGATTCAATACATTCCTACTTGTACATTTAATACAATTATTTTGAAATATTACGCCATTTTAGTTAGTTTTCTTACCAGTTTCTACTGAAGATTCTTGTAACTTTTTCAAGCATTCTTTTTTATAGTTAAGCCAATTAGTTGTTATTTTCTTCAGCGAAGAGCCTGAGACCTGCACATATGGAAAATATTGTAAATTAAGAAACTGAGTTTGAACTTTGTATTGTCCTAGCTCTGATAGTTTTCTACTACTTTAACAATTGAAGTAAGTATTTAAAATCAAATATCTCAATTTCTCCGGCCAACAAATACACCACAAAACAGCCATATTCTCCTGCACATGACACATTCTTGTCAGACTTCCAGTTAAACCCTCTGAATATATAACCTGTGCAGTATGTTTACTGTAGAAGTTGTGCGCTATAACTCATAAGTGCTGGGACATTTTCAAGCAGTTAACAATTAGATTATATACAGAGGTTGATTCAACTTTGTGGAATATGCATGCTTTCACTGCTTTATTTGATTGGTATGACTAGAAATAATTCATGAGCCTGCATGTTTATTATAGTTTTTCCCCGATTCTCCAGAATGCCCAGAGCACTGAATGTGAGTGCTTTCACTACAGTTTAGTATAATGCAAATAAATAAATAAAAATAGTGCTATTTTGTTATCACCACCTTTAAAGAGGTTAATCCCCACCCAAAACATTCCTGTCAGACTGCAGACACTAATTCTCGCTCCAGAAGACCTCGCTGGCAAGCCCTCAGTATCCCTGTTTCAAGTTAGGCAATTTAAAAATTAGCAATGACTCCTCTCCAGTTTCATAGATTCCAAAGCCATGCAGGACGGGGGTGATTAGCATGTCTGAGCTCCAATATAATAAAGGACACAACATAAGACCGGCCATTGAGTCCAAGATCCTGTGTTCAACACTGACAGACACCAGATACTTCAGAGTGAATGGAACAGGGCAATTGTCAAGCAATCCCAGTCCCAGCTTCTGGCAGATGGACGTTTAAGAACACCCAAAACATAGATTCTTTTTTGAACCCTCTTAAAGTCCTAATCTTCTCAATATCCTCTGGCAAGGAGTTCCACAGGTTGATTATGTGCTGAGTGAAGAAAAACTTCCTTTTGTTTGTTTTAAACCTGTTTAATTTCATTTGGTGACACGCCCAAGAAAGAAACCAACAGAACACCACTGGCCATCACCTACAGTCCTCAGCTAAAACCTCTCCAACGCATCATTAGTGATCTACAGCCCATCCTGGACAATGATCCCTCACTTTTACAGGCCTTGGGAGGTAGGCCAGTCCTTGCCCACAGACAGCCCGCCAACCTGAAGCATATTCTCACCAGCAACTACACACCGCACCATAATAACTCCAACTCAGGAACCAATCCATGCAACAAACCTCGGTGCCAACTCTGCCCACATATATACACCAGCAACACCATCACAGGACCTAACCAGATCAGCCATACTGTCACTGGTTCATTCTCCTACACATCTACTAACGTAATATATGCCATTATGTGCCAACAATGCCCCACTGCTATATACATTGGCCAAACTGGACAGTCCGTACGTAAAAGAATCAATGGACACAAATCAGATATTAGGAATGGCAACATATAAAAACCTGTAGGGGAACACTTCAATCTCCCTGGACACACAATTGCAGATCTCAAGGTAGCCATCCTGCAGCAAAAAAACTTCAGGACCAGACTTCAAAGAGAAACTGCTGAGCTACAGTTCATCTTCAAGTTTGACACAATCAACTCTGGATTAAACAAAGACTGTGAATGGCTCGCTAACTACAAAAGCAGCTTCTCCTCTTTTGGAATTCACACCTCCAGATCAACTACTAGAAGTGGGCCTCATCCTCCTTGATTGGATCCACCTGGTCATCTCCAGCCTGATCCTGGCCTACATATTTATACCTGCCTCTGGAAATTTCCACTACATGCATCTGACAAAGTGGGTCTTTGCCCACGAAAGCTTGTGCTCCTACACTTCAGTTAGTCTGTAAGGTGCCACAGGACTCCTCGCCACTTGTTCAGATTCAGACTAACACGGCTCCCCCTCTGATACTTTACCTGCCTGTATTGTTTGTAAAACAGGGATAACAGTCAATAAAAACCTAGCTCTTAAACGGTCTTCTCATTCATACCTATCTTTGCAGAGTTTTCATGTGATTTTCAGTTCCTCAGCGTGAATTGAGGATAACAGTGTGTCAGAAAGGATTTTCATGGGTTGGTGGTGTCATATGGCAGTGAGCTAATGCTTAGAAACTGGTTTTATCCTGGGCATGCAGGTTGCCTTTAGAAAACCTTGCTTAATAATGTTGCTTTCTCAGGAACTACCCTCAGGCACCATACTCTCAATTAAGGAAGTTTTTTTAGTGTGAACTTCATAGTCTCCCAAAATTAGTGTATGCAAATAAGATGTTTAATCATCCAGGACTGGAGACTGGTTGAAGGTATGAGAGAGGGTCTAAAAGGAAAATGGAGATGCAATGCTGAGCAACTATTTCTTTGACCAATGTTTCAGCTTATTCTGTCTTGTGCTAAAACCCTACCATCATGAAAAGCTTTCAATGCTGGACAGAAGGGATTTGAGCTCTGTTTTCTGGAGAAGAAAGTTTTAAATAGCTCAGAAAAGACTGTTTCACCAGCTCCTTGTTTCCTTCAGCACTAATCCCAAGCCAGCTGTAGGCTCATGACTGTGAGCCCCCCTTGCTTTAAATCCCCTGGAGTGGAAAGACTAATTATTCTTCACAAGATGGGCTTCCAAGATAAGAAGAGAATATTTATAAGAACCATGAGAAAGGAATGTTTGTTTCCAGGACAAAAAACATCTTGACTTTTCCCTGATTTGAGCTTCAAAATGCAGGCGACCAGCAAAGATTCTTGGATATCCATTGGTCAGTGAACTTCATCTTAAGAGGCAAGGAAATGGAGATGACGCATTTGTAGAAAACACTGCTCCATTTAATAGACACAAGTTTGGTTTATAATAAACAAACGGGTAAATGACCAAGAAGATACAGGGAAAGCTCAGAACTGCTGCCTGGCTCCTGCTGTTAGTCCCAGCTGTTGCTACTATGACAGAGCTGCAGTCTTGACTTGGGAGTCCTGCACTTTTAGGCTGAAAGTGTTTGCCTCAGAGACTCACTGTGACCCTCCACATAGCCTCTTGCCTTTTACTAGAGGCAAGGGTCACAGCCTACAGAGCCATCCTTATCATAGACTAATCTAATGGGTTTGGGGATCAACTCTTCTGTAGTCCCAAACTTCCCCTCCAGGGGTGGCCTCCATAGTGGTGTAAGGCGGGTTGGGAGACCCAGGCCCACCCACTGCTATGGGTTCCAGCCCAGGGACCGTAATGGAAGCTGTAGCAGGCAGTAATTTCTCCACCATCAGAGTGGCAGCTTTTCCCTAAGCGACTTCCCCAACCAACGCCTCCCAGTTTCTTCCTCCTGGTACTGAACAACGGCCTTCTGCTCTTCCCCAGCACATCTTCATTCCGCTGCTGGTCCTCCCTGAAGGGAAGCCTCATAAACCAGCCCCAGCAGGTCCTTAATGAGCTGTAAGTCTTCGGATTAGCCTCCTGCTTCTGGCAAGCTCGTCATTGGCCACGGGTTCTTCCTCATTGTGCTGCATAGAAGAGACAACTGCTTACCCTCCAGATATGTCTAAACTGCAATGCTGTTTATAGATACCAGAGTATCCTGAAATAACTATCCCATGTCTTCACAGAAAGCTTGCTATTCTAATGTCCCTGTAAACCTCATTCTACGAAGAGTAAGGGACGTTTCAGAATAGTGCCGTATTTCAAAATTTGGCTCTGTGTAGATAGCACCAAGTGATGAATTAGCTTCTTTTGAAATACCATCGAAATAAGATACGAAATTTGCATAGCTTAAATCGCGTATCTTATTTCAAGTTATGGTGCAGTGTAGACGTACCCGCAGAGACCAGTATATCTACCTTCCACCAGACTATGGTAGCCCCCAGTCTGGTTCTGTGTATCTGATTGGGCTCCCAGAGGGGCTGCTCCACCTCCGGGTCAGTGGGTGGCCACTCTACCCCACTACGGTGGGGACTAAAGCAAACCCCCAAGTCACTAGTTCAATAACCTCTGCTTTGGTCCAGGGCAGGGTATGAGGCAAATAGTTCAGGAGCCTGGCCTTGCTACAGGGCGGATGACAGGCAAACAGTTCAGAGGCCCTGGCCCTGCTGCAGGGTGGGGCAGCAAGCAAACACCATTTGTTCAGGATCCCTGGCCTTGGTTCAGGGCGGGGCCATAAACATTATAAAGTTAGTTCAGGAGCCCGGGCCCTAGTTCAGGGTGGGGCAACAATCGGGGTGAACAGTAGTTCAGTGGCCCAAACTTTGCTTCAGGTGAGCAGTAAAACACAGGTAATAGGCCTCGGGTCCCAGGTCAGAGCAGGCAACAACTACAGTCAGTCCCAGAGTTCGGTAGTCCAGGCCTTGGTCCAGGCGGGGCAGCAAACAAACTCAGGCAAAGGCCCTGGCACTAGGTCAGGGCAGGGCAGCAACAAACACAGGTCAGGATCTCCAGCCTCATTTCAGGGTGGGCAGAAAACCAACATGTCAGTAGTGAAATAGTTTGTCTCCTGGCTCAGGAAAGGTGCAGGCAATTCACCTGCTGTGGCATAGAGGGGGAGACTGCCATCCAGTAGGTGGGTGGCAAGAGGGAGACAGGCCCACCCACTCCACTGCATCCCAGCCCAGGGCCCTAATAGTAACAGCATGGTCTGCTGCTGGGTCAGCAGGGGCTATGGCCCAAAATGCACTGACCTGAGGCACTGAACTGTCCTCTGAATTCCCTGGGCCACTTCCCTTTCCCCCTTGGGGCATACCTGGGCTTTCTGCAGGTCTGTCAGCAAGCTGAGGGTGGTTAGGTCCAGCTGGGGTCTGGATGGTCCAGGCCAGTCATCAGCCACTTGCAGGTCCAGCGGTCTCAGTCAGTCCACCAATGCAGGCATTCAGGCCAGTCCTCTGGGTCAGGCATGGCTAAAGGTCCAGGCCAGTCCTCAAGCGCAGGGCAGCACAGGGGTTCAGGTCCACCTTCCAAGTCAAGCATGCCCAGTGGCCCAGGCGAGTCCTCCGCCTCTTAGGCAGAGAGCGCTGCGCAGTCC